CTCGCGCGAGTTCCTGCTGTTCCAGCTTGCGTTGGTTGACGAGATCCTGGGTTTTGGCTAAAGGCAGATTCATGCTGGGGACGGATCCATCTGGTGTTTCTAGTTCTGTGCGTAGTTGTTCAATTCTCATTTCCAAATCCTCGATCTTTGTAGGCATCTCACGCAGCTTTGCCGTTTCGAGTTGCACACTCTCGTACTTCTGGCTAAGCTCGATGCCTCTCCTCTCAAGATCTGTCACCATATCCGCCACTTCTGTTTTGAGTTCTTTGAGTTGCTTTTTTGCAATCGCGTTTTCCTTTTCAAGTTCCAAATTCTCTTCCGTTGTGACAATCATTGGTGGGTCGCCGACAATGGCTCGGATGAACTTTTCCTTTGTGACTTGTTGTACATATGAGAAGCGCAATTTGGCGAAGAGTTCTTTGTAGTGTGCTAGGTCGGCTGTTAAGCCTGCGGGAGTTGGCGCGTCAAAGGCTGAATTTGATGCATCTGATGTTCGTTGCCGGGCATCTTGAGGCCTTGAGCTTGAGATGGGTTCACTGAGTTTGATGATTGAGATTTCTTGTGATGACTGAAGTTTGTTCAAGGCTTCAAGAACCTTTTCTGGATTTGGTTGACTCATGGCAGTCTAGGAAACGCGATATTGTGACAAGAGAAGACCTATTCTTAGGCTCGTGATATAGACTTGATTGTGTTTACTCCGTAGAACGCGGATATCGGGTGTTTACTTTGAAACCTAACTTGGGTTAGCGGGATGCTGTTTGGGCCACAGGCGGTGTGGAGGGGCAGAAGACTGCTGACATCAATGCATCCATTAGCACTTCTGACCAAACACAAGAGCTGCATCCTCGACTTACAACCATTTCTTTTCTTTTTCTCTTTTTTGGGGCGCAATCTCTGGGCAATATACATATTTTACGACTGGCGCATATCCTGGACTCTCAAGCTGGATCAACTATGTCCAAAAACGACGAACTTTTAACCGACGATTATGTCGCTGACCTCTTGTCGCAAGAGGCAAGCGACTGCTCTCTCAAATATTCAGCCATGGGTATGGAAGCATATCACACGAATAAGAAGTAATGCATGCACCCACCAGTTCTGGCAAGTCTGTCGCTGACATGGCTTCAGACCTGCGAATATGATGAAACCCAACACCCGGTTTTTACGACATATTATAAAGGATACCGACAATCACAACAAGGCACTGTTAGCCAAAGAGGCCGCCGAGTCCAAGGCACGGCTCAAGGATCTCGAGCGCACAGAAGAAATCAAGCGGCGCAAGACAAACCCGAGTGTTCATGACATTCGACGGCGGCAGATGGGCGATATTCATGCCATTTTAGGCGGCAAGAAACGGCCAAGAGACGAAGATGAGGCTGGCCCTTCTTCAAGGAGAGATTCGCGACGCGCCGACAAGGATCGAAGACAGGAACGAAAACACGACCAGAGACCAGACGACCTTTTCACAGACAAACGCAGTGAGCAGCGACAGCACGGTCGACTGTCGCGCGACGATCGTCGTAGTAAGACTGACGATGAGTCGAGGCGGTCGGATAGGTCACGAAGAGATCACAGACAGCGCGATAGAACGCGGAGCAGAGACAGAGAGTCCGAGGAAGAAGGTCATCATCGTCGCAGTCATAAGCGGAGAGACAGGTCTAGATCACCTGCAAGCCGACGACGGTCTCGATCGCCTAGGGAATCTAAGAGTAAGCATCGGCATCGATCGCCTCTAGATAAGATCGAAAACCGCAAGCGGAAGGAAGAGGAAGAGGAAGAAGAAGAAGAAGAAGAGGGATTGGATGCCATGGAAGATCTGATCGGACCCGCACCGCCCCCGAAATACCGGGGTCGAGGAACAGTGGGAGGGTCTTCGGGTATCGATCGACGGTTTTCAGACACATACGATCCCAAGACTGACATACAAATGGATGAAGATGAGGTTGGCAATGACTGGGATGACGCTGTTGAGGCGTTTAGAGACCGCCAAAAGCTACGACAAAACCAGGAGCAACGTCTAAAAGACGCCGGTTTTGCAGACGAGCAAATACAGCGTGCCAGCGGTGCAGATGGAAAGTCTACGGAAAGTGTGCAATGGTCCAAGGCTGGGGAGAAGAGGGCTTGGGATGTTGGCAAGGTGATCGGGACAGACGGAGTGGCCCAGCCAGAAGTTTAGTTGAGCATCGGTACGACCGACCAACGGATTGGATCGAGGTTACGAGCCGAGACAATGATTCACAGATGATGATTGGATATAGCGTAGCATTCATTCACTGCCTTGTTTTGAGGGATTGCTTTGGGCGGGTTAAGCAGGGAGAAATCGGCCTTTAGGATAAACATGGACGTACAGCGGAGTTCAAATAGACGCATTGGAAATAGGACACGCGCGTACTAATGAAAAGGTTAGACGAATGTCACAACACAACCTCCACTATCGCCCGAACCGGTGCTATTAAGGCAGAATCACAGGTCACTGAAGACTGAAGTCAGTGCCTTAGTACCTAGTATCTAGGTATGAACAGGCGCACGGATAGAATCACGATCACATACGGAACTGGATTCGGTGCCTGGATCCGGGCAGGCCAGGTAGCATGGATCAAAAAACGCCATGTTTGACCAGATCGCGGTGGTGGCACAATTAGACGGCCGATTCTGGCAATCCCAAGCTTTGAGGCTGGATAGCGGTAACGCCGATGGAGCGATACCCAAGCCGGGCAATCGAAAGTCATTAATTTGACTTGAATACAAGCTTAAACTTGATTCAAAGATGCAATCGAGTAGTCTATAGTATGAGGTTATGTTATCCCTTTTGCTCAAGGGATTGTTGATCTCGACCTTGAGCAGCCCCTCCAGCCCTTCAGCCCTTCGGATAGGGAGAAAGTGACCGACAGACAAGGCCAAAAAGCTTGGTCGACGCACGTCCAGGGGAATCAATCAATAATGGATCTGTCTATTTTAAGGTCAAAACAAACGAAACCTGGACCTGGACCTGCATCTGCAGACCCGTTACGTTGCCGAGGCAGGGTATCCGTGCGGCAGGGCAGGGTTGGATTTAGATCAGGTACGAGAGAGGAGAGGGATCTTTGTTCAAGCTGTCTTTATACGAGCTTGATTGGTGAATTCGTATGTTGTGTTGCGCAAGCACTTTGAGGGTCGATCATTGGAGGTAGCGTAATTTGGATGGATGAAAGGTTTCATGGTTCCGCGGGTCTCCGCAGCCCGCCGTTGGAGCCTTAGAACCTTAGATACTAGGTAGGTAGGTACCTAAAGTACGAAGGTAGCTGAAGGCTTAGACATGATCACTTCCATTCTTAGACAGGATCACTTCCATTGTCTGTGTCTGATCGAAGGGACTCACCTGACGCTCTCACGTGTCAGAAGCTAACATAAGTTGTTAGCATCAAGGTAGCCAAGAAGAGAAAAGAGGCCCCGAGAAACAACCACATCATCTCGTCTCATGCACGGAGCATAGAGAATGGAGAATGGCCGTAGCCGACCGTTTCACCGACAGCAAAACAAAACACGCGACTTTGTCTGTCAACACACTACGACGTTGCACCTGTACCTCCCTAGGTACCTAGCAAAGGTAGCAAAGTCAATAGGCCAAAGAATTGTTGGTTTGTTGCACAGCGACTCGCCCAAGGCTCTGCAGCCTCGAGTCACGAGTTTACGGTTGCGGTAGACGCTCAGGAACAAGATTGATTGACTTTGAGGCGTTGAGTTTACCCCGAATATCTACTAACTTGGGAGCTTAGCTCTGGATATGAGTGGAGTAGCCTGCGCTAGAGAGTGGAGGCTGTTTCGTGACGTGACGTGACCACCAGAAGAACAGAACAGACAGAACAGACAGAGCCAAAGAGACCCTGGTTTTGAAGGGCGCCTGATCATGGCAGGGCCCCACGGGAGTTGTCCAGCTGAGTTTGGGTTGGGCTGGTCTCTGTTCATGGCTTTGCTTCGACCCTCGAGTCCGAGTCGAGTTGAAAAGAACCCGGCTCATGTGTAACCAAGCACGAAAGACAAGCTCTTATCTCTCTCCCGTCTTGACCTGATCAACTGATTCTGAGACGTTGTTGGGTTGGCCAAGCAAAGCTCTCTTAAAGTCTAGAAGCCAAAGATACCTTAGGGACCTTGAAATGACAAGGGTCGAGGTGCCGGTTACAGCGCTCACAGCTCTAGCCTCCAGGTCACCCCCGCCCAGAACCCTCCACTTACGGCACCATGCCGCGTGCGTCTCTTTGTCCCTCCCCCTCTCATCAGCCATTGCCCATTGCCATGCCATGCCATGCCATGTCATTGATTCGGATGCATTGTCTTTTTGTCGTCGCTAATAACACACACAGAGAGAATTGATAACCTTTGTAACTTTTTATGATCTGCCCTTTTCCCACTCCCATCGCCAAGAAGAAAGTTTGCAGTTTATTCCTTTTCCTTTGTGAGATCTATCACTGAACCTAAGCGATCCGATTTGACTTTGCAGTCAGCCACACTGACATCAACTTTCCTTACCTATACTCACTCGCTCACTCACGTTGTTTGCCTGGCAACTGATACTGACCTTCTTCTGGCTCTTCTTGTTACTCGAGTCTCTCATAAAGCAAAGCCCCGACTTAGGCCATGCCATAATTTTCTCACACTCACCTTTCCCCCGTCTCTTGAGTGTTCCCATCGGAGCTTCTCTTCCTTTTCTCTTCCTTTATTCCATCCTCTTCTCCATCCTCTTCTCCAAAAACAAAAGAGAGTGACCAACCAACCAACGGATGATCGGCCTAGACCAGAGGTGACGTCTTTGGTTTATGTGACTTGTATATCTCCGAGTGACCCCAAGCCCAAAACGAAACCCCAAGGTCACCTCACTCACACCTCAGCTCACCAACACCGACCTCTCGTTCTCTCTCTTTTATCCTCTTCCTCCCGTTCCTTCTTCCTTTCTCCCTCTCTCTCTCCCCTATCCTCTTCTCCATTCGCCTGTTTTGGAGAGTTTGTTTTTACAGTCGCTCAAAATGCGTCCCCCGCGCGTTTTTGTTCTTATACTCTTTATCGCAGCCTCTCTCCTCCTCTTCTGTCGCGCCATATCATCCTCGCTCCGTACCGCCTACGCCGATTACCCCGCTGGTAACTTCAGGTCCAGACAAAAGACTGACTCCAAGTCGTCTCAGTCTCGGTCGCATAATGATGATTCAGAAAAGTCTCCAAAGTCCGTCTGGAATTCCATGTACTACAACACCCCATTCTCATTATTTCCACCAAATGCTGCCATCAGCTTGACCGACGACAACAGCACTTCCTTTGCCGCCCGTCCCGCCGCTTTTGGTCCCAAGCTCGCTATGCGAGGTCTAAGTGGTCAGTTATGGGTGGGCAGTGGTTTCGCAGAGGATGCTCTTATACATGGTACCGGCGAATTGGGCTGCAGCGACACACCGGGTTGGAATGAGAGAGCAGAGGCCATTGCTCTTCACAAGGCCTTGAGGGCTGCTGTCCCTTCTATTTCAACTTCCAGGTCCAGCACTTCTGTCCGTGCTAAGCGAAGCCGAGTCGTTATCCCCAACGCTGGCAATGGTCACACCACCTCCAGCCATGTCTCTGTCATGCATGACCATTCCGAAATCGACGGCAAAGTGGCGCTACTAATGCGAGGCGGTTGCGGTTTTCTCGACAAAGTAATGTGGGCGCAACGAAGAGGCGCTCTCGCCGTCATTGTTGGCGATAACCAGAAAGGCGGCCCTCTTATTCAGATGTTTGCGCATGGTCCTGAAGTCGATAATGTCACCATTCCATCCGTTTTCACTGCTCGCACGACCGCGCAGCTGCTGTCTGCGCTAACGCAACCAGGGAGCTTCATCGAAGATACATTAGACAACCAAGGCAATCCTGTTCTTAGAGTTCAGAGAGGTTCCAAATCCAGGAAGCACAGTAAACAAGGCGTCAAGTCCACGATTACCGCCTCGACTCACGATAGACGATCTGCCGACGACACCCACAGCCAAATTGAAGAACAATCTACCAAGCCAAACAACAAAAAGCGAAAGACGGCGCTTAGATATTCCAGGAAAACTTTCACCAAGAAAAACAAGGTTGTCAGAGGGTCACCCAAAGAAATTCGAAGTCCCCTCTTATCTGAGGATAATTACGACGACTGGAGGCATCCTGGATCCAGAAGGTTCAAACCTGTAATTCCATCCAAGGCTTCCCTTGTTCGCGATCGCACAAGTGACGATGATCCTGAACCTGATGAGGAAGAAATTCTGGTTGAATTCTTGACAGAGGATGAGGATAACGTCCTCGACTTTTCCCACGAACGTAGCGAAGAGGGACATGACGAGCCCGATGAAGCCGACGATGACGCACACGATGGACTTTGGGTCACTATCACTCCCACGAGTAATGCTAGCCCGTTTTTCGATACACTTCTCGTACTGGTCGTTAGCCCGCTAGTCACTCTGAGTTTCGTATACGCCCTTCTGATTCTTCGCGCTAGAATCCGCCGAAGGCGCTGGAGAGCTCCGAAGTCAGTCGTTGAACGTCTACCCGTGCGCACGTTCCATACAGTCGCTCCCTCGCCACCTTTGACACCGAGAACTCCTTCACCGTCCGCTCCGACACCAACCACTCCTCTACTACAGGAATCTCCTTCACGACCACGACCTCGGTCGAGGGGCTCAACGGGTACTCCGGAAGAAGAAACGCGATCTAGTGACGCTATACCAACACCTTCAAACCCAACCAGGAACAATGCTCGATCTGAGCGCGAGAAGGGCTCTGGTGGGTTTTCTGCTGAGTGGAAAAAGTACATGGGACGTCAAGTCGAATGTGTGGTGTGTCTTGAGGAATACGTGGATGGCGTGAGCCAGGTCATGAGCCTCCCATGCGGTCACGAGTTTCACGTAGAGTGCATGTAAGTTCTTCAATTGCATGCTTTCATGCAAGTCTCAATTACTAACAGTCTATAGAACTCCCTGGTTGACGACTCGCCGACGAACTTGCCCCATCTGCAAGGGCGACGTAGTTCGATCTCTCGCTCATGGCTCATCATCTGAGCCGCACTACGAGCCATATCGCGACGATGCAAGTGATGACGATGATGACGATGACGATGGAACTATTGCGGAGGGCTCTGGCTCTCGTTCAGATGACCGTGAATCCGATCTTGAACAGGGTTTGCTTGCCAACGAAAACCGAACTTCACGATGGAGTCGACACGACGGTTGGCTCAGTATTTTCTCCAGTGGCATTGGCAGGGCAAGGTCTCCTTCTCCCGAGGATCGCAACCGGTGATGCTACAGATACCCTGCTTGTTATGGGCGGCGAGCCATATGACATGGCGTTTTGTTTGTATACGTTTGGAGTTTTCTGGTTATTATTTGGCGCAATGGATGGATAGCTAGCGCACTGGGATACAGAGCACAGCATGGATTGTCAGGACTTTAGAATATCACATATTTGAGTTTGGTTATAGTCAATGGGTTGCGCATGATTGGTGTCAAGACACTTGCGCTGGGATAGGAATAGATATGGTATACCCTCATGGTCGGCTGTTGCATGTACTTTACGGACCATCATGAATAATTAGCAATTCACCCCACTTCATAGTTTCCCTGTTGTTCTGTGAGGTTACATATTTGCAGGGTTGGAGATAATGCTGAACGCCGAAAAAAATACCATTGTCTATTTTTATCTTTACATGACCGAATTGTTTTTTAAAATAACACTTACCCTGTACTCTTAGATGTAACCCTTGAGAATGGCGGCCTCTGCGTTCAATATCGATGAACCAGCGGCACCGATAACGGCTGAAACGGTCAGTGTGAGACAAGTCCTCAGAGGGGAAGATGGAAGACTCACTGTTGTGGCTCAGTGCTGTAAACTTAATGTCAAAAATGCCAGCCTCATCCTCGCGAACACGGCCGACGCTGACAGTGTATCCACGGCCAAGGTCGCGGTCCAGACGGGGCTGAGGACGGTCAGGCTCATCGTCGCCAAAGACCTTGATAGCGGGCTCAGGTGCAGAAGGGCATCCGAGAGCCTGGGCCTCACTCTTGTAATCCCGAAGAGCCTTGCGTACCTCGTCGGCTGAAGGAGCGGGCTTGCGCTCGAAGCTCAAACTAACACATGCAGTGTGGCCGTCCATGACCGGGACACGGTTACAGGTGGCAGAGACACGAAGACCCTCTTGCTCAATGAAGGCAGTACCATTGTCATCAAGGCGACCGAGAATCTTGCGGGCTTCAGTCTCGAGCTTGTCCTCCTCGCCAGAGATGAAGGGGACAATGTTGTCGATGATGTCCATGCTGGAGACTCCAGGGTAACCAGCGCCAGAAACGGCCTGCAAAGTAACAATGGAGACAGTAGAGATGGGTCCGAAAGCGGCTTGGAGAGCGGCGAAGGGAATAACAAGACCAATCACGGCGCAGTTGGAGTTGCACACGAGGAAGCCCTTGTTGAGAGAGCGAACAGAGCGCTGATGAGGGATGAGGTCGAGATGGGGGAGGTTGACGGTGGGAACGACGAGAGGCACGAGAGGATCGCGACGGTAGTTCTTTGCGTTGGAGAAGACAGGAATGTCGGCCTTGATGAACTCGAGCTCTGCAGACACATAAAGTTAGTGACATCAGCTATTACTGATACGTGATAGAGAGGGACATACCGATATCGCCAGCGACATCAGAGTCAAGACCACTGAAGACAACATCACAGTCCTTGAACTCCTCAGCCTTGCATTCTCTCACAACCATCTCGGCAATATCGCCCATGGGGGCGGCCTGCTTCCATCGTACAGCATCCTTGTACTTCTTGCCGGCGGAACGAGATGAGGCGCCGATGGCATGGAGGGTGAGGTATGGGTGCTGAGCGAGGAGGAGGATGAAGCGCTGGCCTACAGAGCCAGTGGCACCGAGGACACCTGTAAATGGATCAGTATTGATGCTAAATGCGTGTCTAGACGTTGACATGGAAGTTATAGTGGGTGGTGCGAAATCGGATGGAGGGGGAGTGTTGAGGGCGACGTACCGCACTTCTTGGTAGGGAATTGAGAGGCCATAGTGGGTGTGTGTCTGTTATAGAATCAATGAGAGACTCTCGACGGCGAAGAGGTCAAGAGAAACAGTCAAAGATACGTTGGGGGGTTGCTGATGTTTAAATTTTGGCGTTGAGGCGGGTGAGTCTTATTGAAAGTACCGAGTAGAATATAACCCCGCCAAACCTCCGACCCCGTCATCGGAGCTGAGTCGCCGAATTTCAATAAGTGTAACCCCACTATGGCATGAGAGTGCTCTCATGGGTCGAGTTTATCGTCGAATTAAAGGCTTCAGTTTTTCAATTGGTCGCAAGAATGTTTAATGACTGGCAAAACACATGTTAAAAGACTCATTGAATTGACAAGTAAGAAAAACCCTCCGAAGAGTTATAATTCGACCCGAAGCATTATGTCATGCACCTCTATCCCGAGGATGTCCCAGTATTGAGCGTGAGCTTGTCCAAGCTTCACCCTTCCTTCATTTAACAATTTTCTCAAATTCGATGCATATGAATGAATGAAACGCCAATTCATGCACATTAGAACCTCCGATATCCTCCCTTGGTCCATTTCAAAATTCAATTGCCATATCTTGTCTTGTCTTGTCGATCGCGATCTAAGGCTCAATTGCGCTCTCTCGTTCATCGTTGGAGTAAATTCGGAACTGGACGAAGATGATGAGATCCTCAGCAATGGTGCCCAGAGAGCCAAGCAACCAAGGGAGCGCGTTCAGCAAGTACTTCTTGTCTTGCGAGTAAGCTACCAGGCTGATGCCGTAAGTGAGGTTTCCGCTCATTGAGAGCATAAAGAAAAGCAATGCGAGGCCTGCAGATTATCAGTCTCATCCATTGATTACAAACAAGCATGGATCAACATACCTTCGCATGACTTTTCCCGGTGGTTCTTGATGATTTGGGGAATTCGAGCACAGAGATAGAGCGCTGCGCTGATGTAACCCAGAATAAGCCCAGCAAGCTCCATTGGGCTCTGGGCCTCATCAGGCGCATCGGGGGTTCCAGGGTCACCACTCTCCCAAGCGCCGACCTTGTACGAGACAAACCAGCCAGCGAACCCAATGACGTATACAGCGAGCAGGCTCAGGGTGTTGTGAAGCCAAGGCTTGCTATCGGGGGTTTCGTCTTCGCCCGTCACAATCTTCCTCAATGGGTCCATCGAGGACTCGGTATGTGTCGCATGGCGGCGCTGAGACCCAGGGAGGCCAAAAGAAGAGCTTCGTCTACGGGACCCGTTGATCAGAGGAGACTCTTCTGTAGGACCGCTTGATCGACGTTCCCCGGCGCGACTCGCTCGGCGGGCATTAAGGGCATTGTAGTAGACGGCCTGGCCGATGAGGACAATATCGGCAATGCAGAAGTATCCTGCTAGGGCAATTGCAGTGGGAGCTAGGTGGGTGAACAAGGCTCCTAGAAAGCAGTTAGCCAAACTGAAAGTTGGCGTGGTGGCAAGCCACTTCTAGCCGACATCAAATTTTCTGACCAGGGCACCAGACAATGGCGTAGCAATGGTATTTGTCTCTGTGCCGAAGACAAAATTTGATTTTGGGGTATTCAGGTAGGAATGGGAACTAACCGATGAGGTTTGTGATGTCGCCCAAGAGCCAGACGACCAGAAAGGCCATGCTGAGGCCATCGGCGCTCTTGGCCTTGTAATTGGCGAACAATTGGGGTAGCTGCAGAGCATCGTTAGCCAGGATGGGGGAGAATTAAGGGTCGCGTATGCAATTGAGATGGCGAATATGAATGCGAATGCAACACAAGGACGCGCGAATGAGAGAAGAGAGAGGGACGCACAAGGAGGCATATCCAAGAGGTCAAGCTGATGCTACCAAAAATGCCCGACAGAGCCAACGTGACCGGTAACGCATGCGCCGCAGCGGCGATTGAGGTTGAGGCCAGCAGCGGCATCGTCGTCGTCGTCGTTTTCGAAGGAGTTGAAGAGGGTAAAATCGAGAAGGAGAAAGAGAATGAGAAGAGGTTTAGATAAGGTAGATCAGATCAAGTAACGTAGAAGAGGAAGAGGGTGGTGCGACAAAGGTGGGTATCACGAGGGCAGCCGGCGACAAAGAGCGATCAAGTGTAGGAAGCAAGTAAGCAAGTGAATGAATGTAGATCCAATTCCAGAAGACAGGTTCTGTTCTGATTCAGAGTTTACTCGAAACCCGGTCAAGGATTCAAAGTTTACTATTCTGGTTGCAGTCTGAATCTGAAGACAAGAAAGAGTAAGATAGAGCAAAAACCACTTCAATAAGCAACAAAGTTTAATGTTCCACGATCAACGGTTCACCATACCAAACCCAGGCAACGCAAAGCACTGCAGACACAGACACAGACACACAGACTCAGATAAGAGATCGCCATGGGAGGTCGGCCCCGTTGTCGGGCTCAACAGTGGAGGTCTTATCGATCCGTTTGGTAACTGGTCATCGTGTATTGGCCAGTTGAGGAGCGCTTATCGCCCAAAGTGACGCACTGGGCTTGGAGATCTTGTGAGCTAAAATATGGAGAACTCGCAGGCATCCCAAGGCGCGTGAGTCTTTTTGTGTGAGGTGAGTTTATGAGATGCAGGGTCTATCTCCTCCGATAAGTGGCCAATTGACCCTTATCATGATAGCACTACCATGGAAGTTACCTTAGCCATCCAGTGCCATGGAAGCTACAGACTAAACTTATGGTATTGAGAACTCAGGCAGTAGTAATTCTAAGTTAGTCTAGATACTTTGCATAGCTCTACTGCTTTTATGATAAACTATCGACCTCAGCTCTTCAAACTAGAGCAAACCTCAGCGGTCTCAGCTCCATTCTTCCCAGCCACTTTCAACGTTTCACCGTAGAACGGCACATGCCCACCATGATTCGCCATAAGCTTGCCTATCCCGCCTCCAGTAGGTAGCTAGACCCCTGACAACTCATGAGCAACTATCGATCATGCTCCAGGACTAACGTAAACATAGGCGGCCTTGGCCAACCGCTCCGCGCTCAGCTCTCCAGCTTCAAACGCTTTGGTCCAATCTAGAATTCGCCTCTTCCTACTCGGTAACCTTGAGCTTAAGCGTGCTCATCTTTTTAACGTCTTTATTTCCCTCTTAAAAGCTTTGACTCTGCTCCCTTCACTTCGTGACTGATAAACCTGCTCCATTCCGTAGCGACCGCCCTCATTCTGTTATGATGAAGCTCCTCTCAGCTGGCGCGCTGGCTCTTGGCCTCGCTAACTTGCCTAGCACTTTTGCTTGGGGCAGTGAGTTCATTAATTCATCGTAAAACGATAGTACTTACTAAGCTCACATATCACAGGTCTCGGTCACATCACCACCGCTTACCTCGCCAGTCACTTTGTCGCAAACACCACCGAGGCTCACCTCAAGTATATTCTCTATAATGACGAGGAAGACTATTTGGCTAAAATAGCCTCATGGGCAGACTCAATTCGCTACACAGATTGGGGTCGATACACCAAGACCTTTCACTTCATCGACGCTCATGACAGCCCTCCTAACAAGTGTGACGTCGACTTTGAGCGCGATTGCAAGGACGATGGTTGTGTCCTCACCGCCCTCAAGAACTACACCCAGCAGTCAGTTGAGCCTCAGTTGCCCTTCTGGCAGCGCAACCAGGCCGCCAAGTTTGTCGTTCACTTTATCGGGGATCTGCACCAGCCTCTACATAACGAAAATGTCGAAAAGGGAGGTAACGGTCTTGCAGTGACATTTGACGGCCGCACATTCAACCTCCACCACGTCTGGGACAGTTCTATCGCCGAGAAGCTGTTGGGTGGTCTGCACGGCGACCCCTTCAAGCTCGCCAACAGCTGGGCCAACCAGCTTGCAGTCGAGATCACAGACGGCAAGTTCGCAGAGGCAAAAGACGCGTGGTTGAAGGATCTAGACTTCAGTGACCCCATCAGCACGGCACTTGCTTGGTCCCGAGAGGCCAATGCGCTCGTCTGCACTCACGGTAAGTCGATTACCCCGGCAACAGCTGCTGTATTTGCAACTTGTCTCTAACATGGATCTACAGTTCTGCCCGAGGGTGCCGATGCCATTGTCGGTCAGGAACTCGGAGGCGAGTACTTTGAGAAGGCGGCCCCGGTCATTGAGGAGCAGGTTGCCAAGGCCGGTTACAGAATGGCTGCCTGGCTGGACAAGATCGTTGAGGCTTACAAGGATGTTGAGCAGAAGCAGATGTCCGAGGAGCTCTGATTTATTTATTGTGCATGTATATCAGAATGTTGTGGGTATTTTGCAACTGGTAGCTTCTTATGAATAAGTGTGTTGTGGTCTTTGAGATTGTAACTTTTGTGATTACATCCTTGGGCTATTTGATGCTCCGCGATATCTATACGAATTCTTCAACAGAGAATGCCAAGACCACGAAATGCCATGTGGAATCAATGTGCCTTGGTCCGAAATTTCAAAACATGACATCATTGCAATTAGGAGAATTGAATGATTCAGGCTCGCTTCGTGATCATGATTCATCCAGTGTCACTCCAAGCCTGAGACGAGTGATCAGTCAACAATTGCTGAAGGATTTTGCAAAAATGCGGATGAAACAGGAACTTTGGGGAAACTGCAAATGTCTTATCGATATTGTAAGCTTAAAAAACAATCGTGATACCGAGTGAGATATTGTTACAGGTCCGGTTACAGGGCACTGTTTGGATGCTACCTCGTGGTTGCAACGCCAGTGTAGGGCATTAATGCTATTGCTAGTCTGCGACGTACCTGCAACACGCCTCCAACTTGTCTGTCTGTCTGTCTTGAGAACTGGTTGGATAGAGCTTAGATCTGAGTGAAAAGTCTGGATGAGATTAGACTGAACTCAATATGCCTGAGTTTGTGAATGCAATGAGTAAGAATCTTTCTGAATCTCAGACGACCTGTTGACAGTACGGAGTAATTCGTGAGAGTATATCGTGATATGATATAGCGAGTATAGCTAGGGTTGTTAGTTTTTCTCTCTTGGCATTATCAGCTACCTAGACGTTAGAGACAGGACGAATGCATAGCCACGCAGTTGACGGTGGACAGGCCAAGTCGACAATTACAAAAACCCCCATCCCAGAGAGGATATCGTCTATTATTCATCAGATTCTCTCGATCTGGTTGATGAGTTTTCCGTTACAGGGCGGACGCCCTCCGACACTGGTGTTTAACAATGGTAGTTTCGAGATTCAGTGGACGAAACGCGCTGTGCTTGGAGTTATAGGCACCCCTGGCAACTAGCTGCAGGTACCGGTCAGTGCATACTCTGATTGGCTGCGCAACCAGTTACACAATACCAATTGGGAAGCAGGGGGCACGGGATGAGACGTCTGCAGCCGCATCCCATCTCCAACGTCGACTCCTAACTTGGATCTCTACTATTACATACTCACTCAATCGCCTCTCGGAGATATGACCCTCCGCCAAGACTAGCCAAGCGCTAAGGAACTACACGACACTCGCTCACAATTGACTAACATTCTCCAACGTCCCTGTTACACCACCTGAGAACAATCATCTCAACCTTCCCTGACTAACTAAGAGCCCAGCCCGAACAGGCATCTCAACTCTGGAGTCTGGACCCCTTGGCCAAGCCGTCAGGTCGCTTCTGCCGCTGTCTCATGTTTTCGTTTCTCGGTCTCAGAAGTCCTAGGCAGCTAGTGCTGTCACTGTGTTCCACGATGTTCTGTCTTGGTGTTTCTCATCAAGTTTGATCGCTGCCCCCTTGCCTCTCAAGCGAGGGATGGATCTTGGGTACTATTGCTCGCTCCAGCCGTCGTCCATGGAGTTGTGACCCTGAACCGGGCCCCTTCAACCGCCCAGATGCCATCCGGTCTGATGTGCAAGCCCGAGACGTTGAATTGTCTGGGATTGTCATAATGGAAGCCAGCCTCTTTTCTCGGCAACTTCGTTTCCGATCATCATCTCCAGTTTTCCCCGATGCTTTAAACCCTCGTCCCTTCGTCCCAAAATCGTACCATCTTCTCTTCTCTTCAGCTCTGGTAGTGTCTCTTTCTTTCATTCGTTCCTTTGAGACCAAGTTGACTTTACTGTGACCATTCTTTTTTCTTTATTTCGAATTGGTCTGGCACCGTTCGAAAACTTTTATACAACATTGTATTTGCCCTCGGCTTCATTTCCTTATTCACTTTCTCTCCACAATATCAACATAAAGTCATCACAATGCAGGTCAAAGGCGTAATCATTGCTCTTCTGGGCATCTCTGCCATTACAGAAGCTGCTGTCGTCCAAAAACGACACCCCCTGGCTCGCGCTCTCCAACGACGACAATTCGGCGGCGGTCGATTTGGAGGTGGTGGCCGTGGGGGAGGTGGTGGCGGAAACAACGGTGGTCAGGGCAACAACGGCGGAAACAACGGTGGTCAGGGCAACAACGGCGGAAACAACAACGGCCAGGCCAATAACGGCGGCAACAACGGCGGCAACAATAATGGAGGCAACAACGGCGGTAATAACGGAGGCGGCGGCGGTGGCGGCAACACTCTGGACGCCAACGCCGTGCAAACTGGTTCGCAGCAAGATGGCAACAACCCTGGATCGGATGAGCAAGCTGCCTCTGCAACGTGTGTTATATCTACCTTTGAGGGGGGGGAAACAACTAACAAAGACTTAGGGATGACAACAACTTCATCAACTTCTGTGCTGGCCAGACACTCACCAATGGAGAGCAAAACCGGGACGGCTCATGCAACGGTATTCGTAAGTTTTTCGATCCTCTCTTCCCTTCTACATATACTGACTCCTATAGCTATGGGGAAGATTCCCGGAGCCAATAACATGGTTTCTTCAGTCTTTACATCACCTCAAAACGGCGACAACGTTGAAGCCAATCAAGACTTTGATATCTCAGTCCAGTTTATCAACTTTGCGCCTGGCTCGTTCACTAATGCAACAACCACCTACTATTCTGCTCCCCAGGACCTCGACGGTGGTGGTAACATCATCGGTCATACCCACGTCACTGTCCAGGACACTGGCGATAGTCTGAACCCTACTCAGCCTTTGGACCCTCAGCAGTTTGCCTTCTTCAAGGGTATCAACGATGCTGGTAACGGCCAAGGTCTCCTCACTGCCAAGGTTGACGGCGGTCTGCCTGCCGGTAACTACCGTATCTGCAGTATGTCTGCCGCTTCCAACCATCAGCCAGTCCTCATGCCTGTTGCTCAGAGAGGAGCACAGGATGACTGCATCCGTATCACTGTTGGAGGTGGCAACGGCGGCGGCGGCGGCGGCAATAACGGAGGCAACAATGGCGGTAATGGTGGTAACAACGGAGGTCAAGGCGGTAACAATGGAGGTAACAACGGAGGTCAAGGTGGTGGCCAGAACGGCGGCAACCAAGGTGGCCAAGGTGGTGATCAAAACGGAGGCCAGAACGGTGGTGACCAAGCAGCTGATGCCGGTGGTGACCAGAACGCTGGCGGCCAAGGTGGTGATCAGAATGGAGGTCAGGGAGGTGATCAGAATGGAGGCCAGAACGGTGGTGACCAAGCAGCTGATGCCGGTGGTGACCAGAATGCTGGCGGCCAAGGTGGTGATCAGAACGGCGGCCAAGGCGGCGACCAAAACGGAGGTCAGGGAGGAGATCAAGGCGGCGACCAAAACGGAGGTCAGGGAGGAGATCAAGGCGGCCAAGGTGGTGACCAGAATGGCGGCGGTGGTCAGGGAGGTCAAGGTGGTCAGGGCGGCCAAGGCGGTAACGGAGGTGGTGGCGGTTTCGGCCGCGGCGGCTTCGGTGGTTTCCAAGCGGCTTCAGCAGGGGATGGGTCTGGCAACAAGACGGCCTCAGCAGCATGAAGACTATGACTGGTTATCAAAGAGGGATAGACAGAGCCATTCGACTTGGCCGTGGCCCTGGCGGTTTTCGGTGTGAGTATCAGTGGTGGTCCTCAATTCGAGAATACTATTTCGCTCGAACAAGGACAGTAATCAGGGTGGAGTTTGGGTGTCTGCCTAGTTAGAATGGTTTTGGGTTTACATACATCTATGGACAATAGATGATGGATGGATATGAGCTGGAGGTGAATGTACGTCAAGATATGTTGTTTATTAGTTGAATAAGATTTGGTCACTTAATTACGATTGTCCTGGGAGTTGTGATTATCTCCTCTGATAGCTGTTCGCCCTGTGTATACACTGAAAAGCGCCAGACAATGGCGTTGAGACATGGACTGTACGATACTTAGTAAGGCTGCTGTAGTTGTCGCAGAGTTGCGATATGAAACGGGCCTATCAGGGTTCAGACAACCACTGTTTCGTTGCGAGTATAGCAAAAGATTTAAGTGGATGTTCAAGTTATAGAATGGCGGTTACACGGAACAGTCATCAGCATGAACAGTGGAACCGTTGCACAGCCTACCTCTTTAATTTAGGTACGTAAGTCCGAGGACTTGAAATACTAGGTAGTCCTAGGTAGTTTCTTTTTTATAGTGGTTCTATGTTGAAGTGGCACAGATGATATTCTTGTGTATATAGATGTAGTTTTCGGCTACCAATCATAGAAACTCATTCTGTGGGCAACCAACACTCTCGGGGGCATGCTCTCACACATTGTGTCTGCATCTGAGCCACTGCAAATGACGACCTTATATGAGTTAGTCTTTGTAAACTTTTCCTGTATGTTTCTGTTTGTCAACAAGCTGGCCTTTTTTTATGATTTACACGACATATATGTTTGTTAGCTACCCTGTACACGAGGCAGTCTTTGCCTGCGAGCGTTCATACCTGGTAAATAAAAAGAAAATTAGAATTAAATACATATAGAGAGAATCTCAGTACGAAAATCCATGTGGCCTGGTAGCTTCCTTCGAGGAAAGATACAGGTGTCGGAGAATGCGAATCGCCCGCCCAACTCTTGTGTAACCATGAGCACTTGGGACAGAGAATTATCACATGTCGACATATTACCCTAAAGATGCAACGGGTAAGAGGGTACCTAACAAAACCAATGACTTGACAACATACATCTGTCATTGATTCAGGGCATATTGTTGCTGGAAGTCGCCTTCAGAACCAGCGGGGTTGCTTCCTTCCAATAACTCCAGAGGTTACCTACGGTAGAGGCAGATAGTACTTACCTACCTAGTATAACTTGAGGTCTGACTTGCCATTTCCATGCCAGTGATTAGTACTTTATCCGTCAACACTGCAACGTAACTGCCTTCTCAAAACCATTAGTAAGACACGCATTCTCCCGCCAGATATTTGCCCACGGTGAACCTGAATTTCCATACCGCAATTAGGGGGCACCCTACACGCATCAGCGACAGAGATCCAGTACTGTTTACGGCTTTTCTCTCCAGAGGCTTTGCCGACCAGTCTAAGGCCTCTGGAAGCAGTTGAGTTTCGATGCGGCTGACCTTGTCCTCACAAAAAGAACCCTGTTCTAGAAGAAAGTATAACTTATCCGCCCTCCCCGCCCACGCAGGCCTGGATCATCTAACGGCCTCAGCGAAATAAACTCGAAGCCTTACCTCTTTTCGCCTGGGGCCACGGTTCATCCCTAGCCTAGATCGCTCAGTCTGACGTCCGGCACGACTCGTGGGAGCCTAGGACCATGGATAAAGGTCCTAGCTGGGGATCGATCGTAGGGATCTGCCAGTCATTCACACTATAGCTTGGCTTCTGCCGTCGACTTATGTGCCGATAATGTTGTACTCACAATAGAAAACATCGACTACCTCTACCCTCAACACTGCAGAGCACAGAGTAGACTTCATTTGAGACGGTTTAGCGGAATTTGACTGTCGAGGGTTTCGAAAATAAACACCATGTCAAATCTCAGCCGTATTGGCGTCGATGGCTGTATGGGAAAGGAACGGGAATTCGAGATGTTCGTCCCTGAAGATAGTGGAGATGGATCAGGCAGCCCCCAGCCGACTGTCAACGCTGAGGAGATCATCATGGCTGATGATACTGTCGAGTATGTTGACAAAAATGCCTTCGGCGATGAGCTCGACCGAATGCCTAATGGCTACTATCGGAGTCCTCAGTTTATTGGTACTCTTGCTGCACCTCTGGTATTCAGACTGAGAGTGAGAGGGGTACTGACTTTGATCCATACCTAAGGGCAGTCAGTGTCTAGCAAGTACTTGCGTATACCTAGGATGGATGCTCCCCTGAAATACTTTGTATGTGTCTTTACCTTGCATTTACCTCTATCTCGGACAGTGCTTTTCTATGGTACTGCAAGAAGTGTATGCTTTTTCGAGTTTACTAACGTGGATTGCCACAGTGCTTTAATAACTTACATGAAGGCTGCCGCTGCAGTTACTATCTGGGCATCATTCTGAATGCAATCACTCTGGCTCTATATCAGTTCCTCTACCGCCCACCAACCTTTGCTCAGCTGTGGGAAAGACGAGAATGCAGCAAACAAAGGTGCTTGATTGGATTGGCATGTCTCTCTTCACGCTGGATGCGTTCTCTTCCTCGTTGGCCTTTCTTGGGGCGACACGACATATCCTTGGAAGAGTGCTGAGGTTTTGTGCACATTAATCATTGGTATAATAACCCTTGCCGGGTTCTTTGTATATTGTATGGTTCCTTGATTTGAAACTTCCCTTCAGAGTCCGCTGATACTGTAGAAAGAGGCTTTTTCCTGTTCTGTAAAACCCCTGGTTCCGTCCGGTGTTTTTTAACAACACTGGGCTTGTCGCAGTAGTCACCTGTGCGACTGTTGCTTCAATGGTCTACTACTCCTTGACATTTCTCTGGCCTACAATTATCAGCACGCTGTACACCGCAGATTCTATCAAAGTTGGCTGGCAAAGCGGCGTGATTGGTGGTGGAGTTGTTCTGGGCCAAGCTATGTCGGGTCTCGCTATTGCCTATGTTCCTCGCCTCAAGATCCAGTGCATGTGCGTTGCTGCTCTTGTGTGGCTTTCATCCCGTCGATGTGTTCCCTTATCCCCTGACCGGTGGGCAAATACAATCGCATTCAGGTTGAATGCATGCACTGCTGCTGGATACATTGAGAATGTTGCACTCACCCTGTGTAACTCTACTATGGGAACCCCAAGATATCGGCATATCATCTGGCACTCTTGGATTGATTCGTGCCCTCGGTGGTGCCATTGCTCAGGCTTTGCATGTCTCTATTCCCGGCAACGAGTTGGCCAGGAAGATGCCTGATTATCGTTTTTCGGTCATATACCATCGGAAGACCTTGCTATAGTAAGGGGCTCCCCAAGCTTTTGGCTTGGTCTAACAATTATGTGATCCCGGCTGCAACTAGATCTGGTTTGCCAACCAAATCCCAACCTTCACTCTTTGAGGCTATCAACAAAGGAAATTGCTCAGATGTACCGGGTATCAGCAAGACTATCCTTGATTCATTCGAAGTTGCCGTTGTCAAGCCTACACCAGCTCACTACATTATGTCTTCTACGCCACTATATCGTTTTCCTGTATCATGCTTGTCGCCGCTTGCTTGGTTCCCGATATCAAAAAGTTCTTGACGTAAAATGTTGCGAAACGTCTCCAGGATAAGAGCTTCCGTAAATCCTCTCGCGGTTCAGGCCATGAATGAATGCCATCCAGATGAGGCTAAAGTGACTTCGCACGCATAGGCTTTCTAGCAATTTTCTTTCTCCAGAGGGGGGCGATGTTACGAATCGTATATAAGGACGGGAACCGATCAGCGGACACTCGGAGACTGAGTCTATAAAATTGATCAAGACGTCAAGTAAGTAAATTCTTGATATGACATGGAGGGTTAAGACATGCTCGCAAAAAAGAATATTTAACCTGGTAAGTGACATGTCCAGTTCAAGTTTGGATTCACTGATCTTTAATATTACTCAAGTAGGATGGACACGCTTAAATATTATGAACTTCTTGTCTGCTCAAGCCTTTAACACATACAAATAGAAGAGCCTTTAGAACTGTCTGAAAACACCAAAACCAAATCACTATGACTGAATCAACCGCACGCTAAAGAGCTCAGTCCCTAACCGCGCTGAGGACTATCGAAATATTAGCAAGTATGACTCCAACTACTCAACCCATCTAAAGGTCGAACTTACGCGCAACCTTGAGGAGTAACTACGCCAAAAGGACAATCGCCAGAGAGCTTCTCAACGATCTGGTTAAAGAAAACAGGCGTGACGACGATGCCGGCGCTGACGAGCGAAGCAGCCGCAGAGAGAAGCGTGACAAAGACGGTAGTCTTCATGTTGCTGATGATGGTGATGGATATGGAGATGGAGATGGGTATGAATGGATATATAGTGGCGTGATATTGAGCGATGAGAAGAGAGTGGCACTTGAAGTTACAGAACCAGCTGAAACGACAAGAAATTAACTAGACAGGGGAGAAGAGAAAGAAACGCGTAGTGCAAAGAATTAATATGTATATTTTAATGTGTTGACGGGAAGAACAAAAGAGGAGGGAAAAAGGGAGATAGACGGGAAAACCGAGTGGGAGGCAGCAAAAAATAGGGTGTTACAGGGGCGAGACGGTCGAGGTTTCAGGTTGTGAAACGAAACGAGTCCATTACTGGCTCGCGAGAGGGAGACTATTAACAAATTTGGACATATCATCCGATCCGAAATATTTGAATAGGTACAACAAGAAAAAAGTATAGAATTAGTTTCACGAGCTACAGTACAGAGTGGCAGACACTCAATTAATTCGAAGCTTGCTTTGACTTGGTCTTCTATTGTCCACGTAACCTCCTGGTTCTGCCTTATCATCCATCTACAGCCTGACAATATGTAAACTTGTCCAACTAGCGACTATGAGACAATAGGTATCAAATAGGCATGGCAAATCATACTGGTAAGTATAAATATCAGAAACTTCAAAAAAGTCAAATCAAGCGAAAACCTTGACCACTAAAACAAAAACTCCCAGCGTTAAGTATGCACGCGTCAGGAATGTATTGAAGCTATAGCAACAGTCGACTATCCTCCAAGTCATCAAGTCCCTTTAGTAAACTCCCCCGCTTTGATAGTAACTGTCGGGTGCAGGAGCCGAAGGACCATCGCCGGGTGGCACATAAGGCTTGTACTGAGCCTGACCAGCACCACCTTGGCTGGGCAGACCATGACGAGCATCATATCCGCCGGCATTCCCAGGGTTCAGAGGGGGAGGTGTCATGACACTCTGAGGAGGAGGGGGAGCTGACCCTGTGGGCATGGGAGGGACTTGGGAAGAAGGATTGTAGCTCTGGTATTGTTGAGGCTGCTGCTGATGCGTTGCATAAGGACCAGGGGCTGGTGCGCTGGCGTTATCGTTGGGCTCTTCAGGAGAATACACCGAGCTCGAGAATGTGGCAGCCGAGGTCGGTTGGTGTGGGTTGTTGGTGGCTATAGGGGAGTCGTAGACAGACGTAGCCAACTCTTGGGCTCCGTATGTGCTACCAGGTCGTCCTCCCGTAGGCGCTTGCGTGTAAGGGTTGTTGTTCTGAGATTGGTTGTAGGGGTTTAAGTTCGGGCCCGGTGTCGAGGTATTGATAGGGGCCGGTTGTTTACCATTGGAAGGAGACTCGTTCCGGGGAGGGTAGGGTTGTGAACCAGCGGGCACTTCAGCTCCTGCTACATAGAAAGGTGCCGATTGACCTTGAGGTTGGTTCTGGAAGTTAGGGGGAGGAGACGATGCTTGATAAGGAGGTTGCTCTGTTAAAAGTCAGAAGGAGGTTCTTCCACTGCAAGGACAAAGGGCTATCATACCTTGTGGACCAGGAGTATAATATCTTGAGGGGTCCTGAGGAGCTGCTCCCTGTGGAGGATATCCACCAGCTTGAGGATAGCCCTGGCTGGGACCCGGTCGCATTGCGTATTGCTGGTAGTTGTGCTGAGGAGGATGGGCCATGGAAGACTCCAAAAGAGCCTCGTAGTCCCGTCTGGCTTTGATGAACTTTTCGTTCAGCTGTGTAAAGTCATCTGAGAGATGTATGTTAGTGTCCTATCCAATCCTGGGGGCGTCCAATGCGTACCCTTCTTCTGAGAGTACTTCTCGATCAGCTTGATAAGCTTGGGTCGAATAGCAAGAGTCTGGTGGTAAAGCTTCTGCAGGACCTGTTAGCATACCGATGATATTGTCCATCATACTGGGCGCTTACGGAAATCTCCTCATTATCTTCCTCTCGGGGCGCTGTGTTGGAAGTGCTCAATAACGTGAGGAGCTTCTCAACGTTCTTGATCTCGGCGAACACCTCAGCCTCCATCTGAGCCTCGCGTTGTAACTCATCCGGTGTGGGATCGGTAAGCTTTTCGACATAGTTGAGCGGGAAGATGCCAGTCTTGCCCCTGAGAGAGCCTCGCCACCAGTCCTTGTATACACTCTCGAGAACAGCAATCACGTCACCCTTCTTGAATTCCAGCTCTCCGGGCTCAGAAGGAGCAAAGTCGAAGAGCGCACGTACGCGGCTCACCGTGGCCGCTGTAGTTCCAGCTGGCGCAGCAGGAGCAGGGCTCTCTGTCTGGCCACTAGGACCGGCTTGTGCGCCTGGACTGGTTGCAGCAGTCTTCTTGCGCTCCTCCTCTTGCAGACTCAACTTGAGAGCCATCTGCAATTCATCCTCTTCCTTCTGGCGATCGAGCTCGGTAAGGCCCTGCTTCTGAGGAGCACTTGGGGGCTGGATGTTTGGGTTGCTTCGTGTGGCACGGTTATAGGCGTCACTCATGATGCCCAACTCGGGATCGCTGCTGAACATCTCGGACCAGCTCTTCATGTGCTCGATGATTTTAGACTTGACTTGTGTGTGGGTATTACGGTCGTTGGTAAGACGGAGGAGGGCATCTGTAAAGGCACGGCTGGAAAGTTCGCGGTGCATGTTCTTCCCACAGTTTTGGGCGAGCGCATGCGCAAGCTGATTGAGTCAGTAAAACAAGGCTTCGCATGACGGCGTGGTATTCAACATGCCTCAAGAGTGTAGAGCTGGACATTGGCGTTGCGATGGGCAAGGCGCCTGATGATGCTTTGTACAGCCTCCTTGGGGCCATTTGGGTCGTTGCCTACTTTGTCGCAGACCTCGATGATGGCGCCCCAATCCTCAGACGTGAGGTTCTCGTCGGTGGCCTTGGCTATACTGGTGTTAGTCGCAAGAAAGCACGAGCCGAGACGAGAGCAAGTGATTGGGATTCTCTTGTCCGAACCGAATAAATAAAGCAGAGGGTGCTACATACTGACGACCTCATCATAAGGGCCTGCTGCTGAGGCTCGGAACATGGTGGTTGGTGATTTGACTTGGGGTATCAGCTATTGGCGGGGATGTAGTGAATGCGAGAGAGGCGCGGGATGAATCTGACGGCTGAGAGCCTTGGGTATGTGATGCGAATATCCACCGTATATAGAAGAAAAGTCTCGACGAAAGCGACGATGTTGCTGTTTAGAGGTGGTGGAAGAAGGCTGGTGATAACGATGCGAGATGCGAGATGCGAGATGAAGGTCCCGTACCAAGACCCTGGGTTACGTCGTCGGCGGTCGCACTCTCCACACAGGCACGTCACTTGTGGTTTTGCTCGATTAAGGTACCTAACTCTAGAAAGCGTCGTAGGCGTTTGGCGTTGTCTTGAGGACGAGAATATAGTGAATGGGTCGATTGTGAAGAACAAAAGGAACAACCTAAGTAGGTGCCTAGTAAATGAAGTAAAGTACTAAGGCTCGCGAAGAGAGTTTGTAGGTAGCAAGTGTTTAAACAGAACAGGCTTCCTTCCAGCTTCGCTTTTACCTTTGACTCGCTCTGATGACGAACGACGAGCGGCGAGCGAACCCAAGTAGCGGGGCTGAGCTACCTACCCCGACAGCTCCCTGGTCCATGTGGCTTGAAGGCCACGCGTGCGCCACACCAAACTTCAGGTTGTCCATCAGGTTTGATTCCATTTCTACCAACTTATTAGTACCTATCATCTCACTGTCTTGACATTGGCGAGCTTTTACCGAGATTTGCCATGCATCTAACTGCTTCCTGGGCTGAAGCATTGCTGTTTATGCTTTCACTGGGAAAAATAATACGAAATATGCTGCTTCTATCCGCTTTTACGGAAAAATCACTTTCATAGCGGAGTCTTTGATTTAGTTATTACAGACTCATCTTCAACTTCGTGACAAGTTTGCGCGTCCCTTATCCCTTGGGTGACGTCCTTACGTGGCGTGGTCCTCGGATTGGGTATCATCGGACAGAATCCCAAGCCTCACACCAAGAGCAAACACACCTTAGAATATATATCCCCTACATTATGTAAATAAATACTCGGTGGCTCGCCTTGGAAGAAGGATGCCGCTTGCTAACGCTACAGTCAACGCTACTTTGAATCGTATCAACCTATGAATAATGTATACAAGTCCATATACGCCGCTCCCATCCATCCACCCACCCATACATACATACATAAATAACCTGGCAATCTACTGTATTTCGCATCCAATGCGCCATCCTGCCTACAACTCCACTGCCTTGAAACATAAATCATGGCTCTAATGAAGCTGGTGTGTCGTTGCTTTCGCTTTGCTGTTAGTAGATGTTGTATGTAAGGTAATTTGTGCCCAAAATCCATATTCAGATATGTCATGCTCACCAACCCCGTCTTGACGCACCACGGCTTTCGTACCCTCCCTTATCTGATGTAGCATTTGCTGACCCATGGGCAACGCTACGGGCCTCTTCGATACTTCGCCGACCCTGTGGATCCATTTCTGACAGGTCAAAGACCAGAGGCTCCTCGTTGATCGAGTCATCATCGCCCCGGACCTGTCTGGTGATAGATCCGGTAAAGCTTCCACGCGATGACTGCGGCGGTGTCTGCTTATGTGAAGCCAAACCCATATATCGCCTTCTACCAAAAGGTGAGCTAGACGCTGCTGTCGGTATCAGTCCCTCAGGAGGGTTCTCTTCTGACAGACCGCGCTGCATCAGCCCTGGCGTGTCAGAGGTCTCGATCTCAGCAGCTGGTTTGAGTTCGTCCGATCCCCTTTGAGTTGACCCTCCCTCGAGCTGCATCTGCCTACCCAGCAAGATGCTTAGAGTAGGTGGTTCTCTATCATCAGCACCTAAGCTGATAGATCGGTGCGCAAAAGCAGAGTCCGGCTCATCTTCATCCGCCATCGACCGATTATGGAGTGCAACAGAGCTCGCCCTTCGTTCATACGTGGCTAGCCGAGGTGACAAGGGAATGTCGATGGCTGTCGTTCCATCTTGTGTAACCGTATTCTCTCTGATCGTCCCCGGTGCAGGATTATTATCAGATGTTCGCCCCTGGCGCGAAGTAATTCGTCCTTGGCCAGTGTAGTCAATTATCGAGTTCTCGCTCAGTCTTGACGGGATTGCTGGCGTGTGGGGTGTATGAGGGGACAGTGGCTTTCCAGGAGACGACGAAGCAGACACAGAAGCTGGTGCAGTCATCCCAGGCACACTCGTCAATTGTCGACTGGATGAGCTCGATGACCTCTGCATTTGTACAGACGATGTCATCGAATCCGTGAGCGCGTTATTAGAGTCCCTCATTTGATGGAAGCGCGATAGTTGCGCCACAGTCTTGTTAGTTGCTGATTCACCTTTCTTTGAGGGACCAAAGCTCTTCAGGGTCTTTTTACTGTCCAGTGCGCTGATAAAGTCTGAGAGATGTTTATGGTCGTTCTGGAGCGAGTCTGAGCTGGTTCCTGCAATCTCGTCCAGGAGGTCAGATCCTGGCTGTGCCACCGATGAGGCCAAACTCTGCCTGCCACTGCTACCCTGCTCGTCATCACCAGCCCTGCTGGCTCCGCCAAAGGATAGACGGCCACGGCGATGCGTGAAACTGCTGCTATAGCGACTAGTCGATGCTGGTCGCGGGGAGCTGGCTACAGCAGGGTCTGTAGATGCCGAGGGAGGAGGACCCCCGCGTAGGGAAGCTGGCATACCGGCAGTAAGAGATGTTCGGTTTCCTGCTTGCTTAAGGGAAGGAATACCTGGACGAGTCAACGTTTGGGGGGAGGCCGGCTCAGGATCAATCTGCCTTGGGACAGGCGAGCCCGAGAGCGAGCCCGCCTTGAAAGGCTGAAAAGATACTGAAGGACGTCGGCTTGAGCCCTCGGTCGTTCGCAAAGGGGGTCGTGTTGCACCCTGACGTACTGGCAAAGAGCTTGGACCACCCACACCATTCTGTGCTGGTAGAGACTCTGGGGGTGAGCTTGTGTCGGAGCCTGGTGGTCGCACCGATCTCAGAGCCGAGATCGGGCTGGTCCCCATTGGGACATTAGTGTGAAATGTTGAAAGACTTCCATATGCCTGCTGCATATCACTCAAGTTCGGGCGGGAGCGGTTGTCACGCAGTGACCCTGCCTCCGTCATCTGGGCTCTTGACTGCTCATTCAGCGGTGGAATGGAGGGTCGGAAAAAGTTCTCGTCCACTCCCATGAAACGAGAACTCAGTAGAGCCTCAGAATCATCCACGCGGAAGTTGCAATCATTGCGATAGGTGACAGTAGTGCTTAGTCGTCCAACGGGCACCTCTAAATCGCCAAACATGTACTCCGTCACGGGGTCTGGTCTGCCATCGATGGGAAGACGCAGCTGATCATTACGTGAGCGATCAGACTGAGATAAACGTACTCGGCATCGTGGGATAAGCGCCGGGTGTGAGTTCTTGGCGGGACCCTGGCTGGCAAACTTCCATGCTGGAAGAAGGCGAGTCGTGATGAAAAGAGACCGGAAAAAGACAATTGCCTTCTTGTAGATGGTGGGTAGGATCGGGCCAAAGTCCGTGGGTATTACGCCTGAGTACTTAAGCTCGACTCGCCACCTCTCAATGATAACCTCGCTGTTTCTCCGGGATGCACCTGACGAGCTGTCGGTAGAGGAACCAGACGAGTTCAGCTGTTCCATCACATCCCATCTCTTGCCAGCCTCATCAACGATGACTAGACTCTGGCTGTCTTTTAGTCGAGAGGTATCCAGATAGACCTCGATGACCATTGGAGGAGGGGGGTTATCGAAGCTACCGCAAGTCTTCCAGATCTTGAGCTCATCTCGAAAGTCATCAATCTCATCCGTCTCGATTTGGAACTACCCCAAGATTAGCGACTGAGTGTGCAAACAGGCTGCAAACCTACCCATTTGTTGGGTTTCCGTCCACCGTTGGCCCCGCGCGCAGGCTTGGATTTGATGCGAGAGTCGAGGACGAGTACGGCTGCCTTTGCATAGAAGTTCTGCGGGGGGAGAAATTGTTAGCGACAGACCTTGGCTAGTGTATTCATGTATCCCGGCCATTCATACCTGGACTATTTGATCGAGCTTCTTGATCGAGTCGGCTGGAGGTGCCGGTGTCGGCACATCTCCAATAGTTGGTGAGCTGGGTGTGTCTCTACCAGCAACATTAGAACCGGCTCGAGGCCGGGACCCCAATGCAGCTTCTCTGGTGCTGTTGGATCGAGATGGAATGGTTGGATGGTGCGTTGCACCTGGGGATGACACCCGGGCTGGGCCACGGGGTTGTTGATGCATTGTTATCGGTTATCGTATATCGTATCGTGTCGTTTGCGCAAAGAAGAGGCTACGGTCGTAATTGTTGGTCGATGGATGAAATGATCACGAACGTATAGGGATCTTGATCGGCCACGAGACCTGCTCATCCATGGTTCATATCGTTTGAGGCAGGCAGTCCAGGTCCATAAGGGGAATGGAGAACGGAGGAGTTAAGATGGATCGGTATTCGGCGGTGCTTGGGTCGGGGGGAGTGCGGAGGTAGAAGTGTAGGCAAAAGTGTAAAAAAGAAGAAAGAAAAACAAAAGGCAGAAAGCTTGGGTCCAGGTCTAGATCCAGGTCCAAGTCCAAGTCCAAGTCCAAGTCCAGGTATCTCCTTGCTGTCGGTCGGTGAGATGCAGATGCAGATGCAGATACAGATACAGAGCTATGCAGGCAGACAAACACAACTCCGTCCAGGGTCGTTGTCGTTGTAATAGGTCTGAAGGGAGGTGTGAGAGAAGAGGGTCTAACACTGTACAGGACAGACCAATCCGGTCGCACTAACAGGAGTGCAGAGATGGTACAGGTACCGCGATTTGCTTGTGTAAGGCAAGGCAAGGTAAAGTACTTGTTTGTGTCCACGAATAGAGATAAAAACAAGACGATAGGTCGCGGGTTGCTGCAGCAGGCCCAACTCTGAAATAGAAGCAAGTTTGGTTGTGTTTTGTCAAAGCCGAAATGAAATCCCAACGGTGACGGGATGAGAAGGGAAAAGAGAATAACGTTA